CTACTCAGACACCCTAGGACAGACATTATAGACTCCTCTTCCCAGCTCCCAACCGCTCTGATGGCAATAAAGGGAGACTATCAAACACTAGGAGCCTCCTAAGATTGTCTTGAAAGAAAAGCACTCAAACCTGAATCTAAGGACACTGATAGCCCAAATTCCCAATTTATAGAAAACACACACGGGCACACATTAAATGACACCCTGCATAGGCATCCCACAATCCAGACTCTATAGGGCAAATGACCAGTTTTCTTCAGCAAAAAAGTTAGAGGATGTAAACACTTAATTGGATATTTGGTGATCCTAAAGAAACATGGATAAACATTTTAGATGACTTAATGGTATCATTCTGCTTTTTTTTTTTTTTTTTTTTTGGTTTTTCTCCGGTACCGGGAACAGAACTCATGACCTTGTGCTTGCCAGGCAGGCACTTTTGCCGCTGAGCTAAATCCCCAGCCCCTTCATTCTGCTTTTTTTAAAAAAGTCCTTTGCTTATTAAAAAGCCTACAGAATATTTCCAATTGAAATTATATGGCATCTGAGGTTACCATCAAATTAATCCACAGGTAGCAGAAAGGGATAAACAAGCTGAGGCACAAAAAGACAGGTCTTGATGATCATTGTTAAAGGTGTGCCACTGAGGCTACTAGTCATGTATAATTTCTATTTTTGGTATGGTTGAAAAATATAATAAATATTTTTTAAATGAAGAAATGTTTTTATGATCACCTGTTGCCTAAATCACCAGTGATGGTTCTATGTCACATGTGTTACAGTAAATGAAATACATGGATTCTGTCCTCTAGAAATTCATGCACCAAACATGGGCATAGTGGCACACTCCTGTAGTGCTGACTACCCAAAAGGCTGAGGCAGGAAGAGTGCTTGATCCCATGAGCTGAAGACCAGCCTGGATATCATGGCGAGACCATGTCTCAGAAAAAAACTCATGCATAGTCAGCTGTTTGCACATAATTGGTGTGACGACAGACCCATGGCACCCTTCAGATCTCTGGCTTTCAGGTTCAGTTATGAGCTAATGCCCTTTGCCAACTACCTCCCCAGCCTTTCTCCATTGTCCGTCTCCACACTTGCTCCTCATGCTTCTGCTCATGAGAGTCCCTTGGTCTGAAGGCCTTTTCTAAGGCCACATCTAACCTCACCTCCTTCCTATAGTTCTCCCCAGCCAGCAGCATGTCACAGTGCGGGCCTCCACCCTGAGGACCAGGTCCTCTCCACCCCGCCATGCCCTCCAGTATGCTCTCACTCTCTAGCCTGGAGCATCCCACATGCACGAAAAGCCCTGCTCACAGGTTTGCTCCTCTAACCCTACAAGCTTGTGAGGTGAATTTTCTGTTCTCTATGCTGAGCCCAGAACTTTATACACAGTCAATAAATGTTGGTTAAAATGAATTTAATGGAAAATATAAAGCCCCAGGGTCAGGGGAGAACTAATGGGATCCCACAACTCAAATACCAGTATTACCAAAATGTCAGCACAGAGGAGCAAAACGCTCTGCTCAGCATAGCCAGGTCATTTGTCAGAGGAAGTCCGCACTCTGGGGCGGCAAGGGCGGAGGTGAAGTCTCTGCCAGGTCAGTGGCGTGCACAGCTTTAGCCCACAGGGACTTTGTCCAACCTCAGCTAAAAACTGGAAGTTGCCAAAATGGGGGCCCCTTGACTCCCACATCTGGTATTTCATTTTCTCCCTGGCAGCCCCTGAGAATGTTTCTGTGGGTGCAGGTGGGGATGTCTTCTTGGGCAACTGGCAATCACACTGAACGTGTGAGCTTAACTGTGCGTGCGTGTGTGCGCACACGCACACACACACATACACACCCACAGGCCTCATAGCTTCTGTGCAAACATATTTTCCAAGTGAAACCTCACTCAGCCCTCAGAGTGAATTAACCCACCCTTCAAGGCCAGAAGGAGATAGCAGACTTTAGGCATCCAGGAGATTGCCTGAGATCCAAGGTCTTGAGACTACAAAATCCAGCTGAGAAGAGCTCAGAAAGAGAAAGCTCCAGCCAAGAAAGATGGGTGACTATTAAATCAAGGGCAGACAGAATGGCTCAAATGAGAAAGAAGCCATCAAGTCCCAGAGGAGAGAGTGCAGGCTGGATCAGGAACAGGCATGGTCATGACAGGGCCTGAAGGGGCTGCTAAGCGCCATACTCACCCACCTCAGCATTTGCTTGGCACTTGATCACCTCTTTATAGGACTTGGCTTTTCCTATTTTTTAAAAGTCACCCTTGGTGCTTGATAAGAGAAGCAAAAAGGGGAATAAAGCAGTTTTTTTGGGCTTGTTTTGATATCTATGCGACAACAGCAGGGACAGCGTGGGCAGCTGCAAACTAGTTTTGGTTGCGCATTCAGGCACCTTCCTCACCTCTCACGCACAGGAAGACTCGTGTGGGAGGAACCCTGAGTCTGACTCTGGGCACTTTGCTGCTCTCGGGTGACCTTCATTGCCATCCTCTGAAGGAGGCAGTGCTGTGCCCACTTCTAACCGACAGCACTGAGACCCACTAAGTACACTTGGAGTAGACAAGTCCCTTGTCCAAAAAAGATATGGTTGGCAAGTAGTAGTCCTTGTCTGACTTGCTGAGAAGCCCAGAGCCTGGTACAACTGCCGTGTCTCACCTGTGCCACTTCCTCATGGAGACGAGGCTGGAGCTGGCTTCAGGCAATATACTCGTGCCTTCAATTGTTCCATCAGGTCTCACTACTAGCAACTCCTACACCTGACCTGGCACAAAACAAAAATTACTGCAGATGTAATATATTACACATGGGGGAACTATATTTGGTAGGCAGAGGCGTAGTATGGAGTCTCACTTACCACTGTTGCTTGGCCAGGATTTGCTCTTTTTCCAGCTTTCTTCCTCTCTGGGCCATGACCAACAGCTAGCAGAAAATCTTTCTGGAAGTGGTACCCTCCCTCCAGGGATTCTGTGAAACTGGACAATGTTTTTGCTTCTAAAATGCCCCCTTTCCCCTTCCACCTGTAGCATTTCAGAGAGGACCACCAAATCACGGTGTAGTCTTAGACACAGCTGCGTCTGATGACAGATTAGGAAAGTGTTCTTCCTGGCTTTTCTTTTCCACCTAGTGATTTGGTTTTGACTTCCCTGTTTGTCTCCCTAGTTCTGTATAACATCCTCTCCTTCCCTGGTGAATGATGGACTTGCAGGAAGACCTGGATTTGTTTCCTCTCTTCCTTTCCTCATTTGCAGAATTTCATTCTTGTGACTCATTCTTTCATTCCATCTTTAATCTTTTTTATCCTTGCTTGACCATTTCCAGTTTTTTCCTCTTTGCCGCTTGCAGACTTCTATGGTAACCACTGAGTCTCCTGAACCCATGATGTCCAGAGCTCATCCTGTGGGTACTTTCACAGTGATTTCCTTCACTGCGTCTTCAACTTCTACACAGTAATTCTGGGCATCCTGAGCATTATGGGATGTAGATGTCTGGCCTATTTAACCCTTCATTTTCTCAGGTAAATGCCCTCACACTCCAAAACCTCTGCCTCTTCACCTACCCAATGGCTGTCTTAAGAAAGATTTGAGAAGGAAATACAATTCTCAAAGCCTCTTCTCCATTGCAGCAACCACAGCAAGGAGGAGTTGTTATTATCACCTCTATTTCTCAGGTGGAAAACTGAAGTTCCAAGACTCCCCAAGTTCCCCACTGGTGAGAGGCATTGTAGGAAGCACAAGGCAGATGCCTGCATTATAGAGGTACTACCTCTTTCATTCCATCAGCTGTCACCAAAAAAAGACGGTATATATGTAAGACATACTGTCCCCATGAGAAGACCTCATTGTAGCCATGTATGGATTTGGCAAACCAAATTTCCAGTAAGTGTCTCATGTATCCACACCCCTGTGTGTGAGAGGGCCTGTTTCTCCACAAGCTCAGCAAAATTGAAAGGAAAGAGTTTTGATCATCAGTTTTGGCCACTCCTGAAAAAGAAGGATGGTATCTGCCCTCCATTAGCCCAAGTTTCTGGGCTGCAGGTCTTCTCTTCATTATGGAAGATAACAAGAGAAGACAAAACCATACACTTCCACAGCCAAGGTTCCCTTTGCCAGCCAGGGTCTCCTCTGGCTGATGGCTTAACGTCTCTTCTCCCGCTTCTCACTTTACCAAAATCTGAAGATGTCTTCTCTACCTGCGGCAGAGACTCTGCTTTTTGCAAACTGTCACATACAGAAGATACCTTTTCCTTTCTGAGCAGTTTAAAGACTTTGTATCAGATCCATCGCACCAGTTGTCGTTAAGCTTGTACCATGAACATCTCGCCCTGCCTGCCCTCCAGCCTCCTACTCTGTCCTCACCTTGGACACTTCTCTTGATTTCCTATACTCCCCACAGTCTCATCCTGATTCTTAGCACTGAGCCTCCGGAACTTGTCAGTTTTAAACTCTCCAAAATTGAAGCCCTCCTTCTTGGTTTGGACAGGAATTCTTACTAGAACAAAATTCCATGGCTGGAAGCTCCACATCTTTTAAGACAGGACTTTCATAGGTGTTTGTACTCATCAGCTCAGCTATTCCCACAATCCTTAGCCTGTAGCCACCAGCAGTAGCCAGGCTCCTGGGCCATCTTCCAAGGTGAGGCTCATGGACCTGAGGAGCCCTGCTCACACATGACTAACCCCTGGTCTGAGGCTCTTCCCAGACAGCCTGTCCTCTTGCCAGGATCTTGCCTAAGAAGTTGGGACACACAGTGCGTGTTGGAAGGAAGGCAGTGGTAGAAGAGCTACCTAGGATGCTATATGCAGGGCAGAATATGGTGGTCTCGAGCCCTGCTAGGATGGAGTCTGGCACTGTGAGTATGAGAGGTAGGACAGCACCTGAGGACAAGGGCCATAGTGACAGGGCAGCAGGGTCTGCAAAAGAGCTCTAGAATCAGCAGCAGAGAAGGAAATTAAATCTCCTACCAATATTAACCTTTTTTCAGCTTTGCTTTACTTTTATGGTCTGTTTTTTTTTTTAATCTTGAAATAATTAAAGTTTGATAAGAAGTTGCAAAGATAAGACAAAGATGTCCCCTGCACCTCTCACCCAAAGGTTTTCAGTACAACTATAGTACAAAGTCAGAACAAGGAAATTGGCACTGGGTCATTGTGTGTGTGTATTTGTATGCCGTTTCTGCTGATGTAGATCCATGTAACCATCACAGCAAATGGGACACAGAGCTATCTCATTGCTACCAAGAATGTAGTGCTCTTTTTATTGGGTTCTAACAGCGTTCTGGGTGTATGTTAAGCATATCTTGTTTACTTCCTGTATCACCAGTGACTGTTAATTATAATATGTCAACTTGACTGGACTAAGAAAAGCCTGGTAAAGCATGCTTCTGAGTATGTCTGTGTCATGTTTCTAGAGATCATTGGCATGAAAAAGAAGAACCCCGTGATTGTGGGTAGCACTAAGCAATAGGCTTGTAGCCTGGATGAAATGAGAGGGAAATAAGGTGGGAAGTCAGCTGGCATTTGAAAAGGTCCATTCTGGTTGAATGAGTATGTCATCACCTGTGGATATCAGACTCTAGTTTTTCAACCTTTCAGGGCAGACTAACACCAGCCACTCTCCAGGAAGCACCCCAGGCTCAGGGTTCAGACCACTGCTGCATTCTTGATCTGTCTTGTCCTATGACTTGCAGCTCCTTAGACTGAAAAGCTGTTATATTTTTTTTTCTATTGCTTCTGTTCTTTTAGAGAACCCTAGCCAACACAATACCCTACCAAATAAGGTCTAGAAACACCTTCATTTCACACATCAGAAGAAGCTCAAGATGGTCACATTTTTTACCCATGTCTCACAATTAGTAAATAACAGAGAACTCAAGCTGGAGTCTTGGTGTCCCCAGCACATAGTCAAGTCGTCTGCACTGATCCAGGATATGGGTCAGGAGGCTCCTTTATCTAGATCTGTTGACATTGAGCTAAGCTGAAAATATTCAAGAGAACATCATTCTTACACATATGTCTTATCCAACTTCACCAATGAACTTGGAGGCTCTTTTGGTTCCTATTAACAAACCTTTAGTGTAGAAAGTGTTCTGAGGCAGATAACAGAAGAACAATATAATTTAAGGAGAAGACAGGAGTATCAACCCTAACCAAGAGAATAAATTTGACAGAGAACCAGATAAGACAAGACCAGTCCATATAGAAAAGAGAATGTCCAGGGAGATGTGAGAGCCAGAGACCTACACAGAAGGAGTAGCATGGAAGCCATGCAACAGTAATTTTGGAATGGCACTGTCACAAAATCTCTGAGGAGGGCACAGAAGCACCTGGAAAGCATTGCAGGAAGTGGCTATGGCTCCGTGTTGCTCCTGCAAGTCTTGGTCTCTTCTCCACACTTCAGCAATGAAGCTTGTCAGAACAGCCTCTTGCGAAGTCTCTCTCAGTTCCTCCACTCAACTATTCCATTCTGCAGAAGAACTTTCCACTTGCATCAGAATTCACCTCCAAGATACCAAAACTGGATGCTGTGTTTCATGCCTTCTAATGTAGTCAGCCCAGCCTGAAAAAGAACCATGAATGTGAGAAATTCCAGCATGCTGGAGCCAAAGAATGATTCTCCTAAACAGTGAAAAATGGAACTTGTTTTAACTCATCATTGACAGATTTATGGATTTATGGTACAGATTTAAAGAGTTTCATTCCATCAGTCCCAGGCTGTAAGCATCCATCCTTAGTTAGAATAACCACAGTGAAACTCTGTTTTCTGAAACACCAAATCCTTAGTGAGTTGTCACTCAGTGAGTCCCTTCCCTGGTGTGAGTTCCCTACAAGGCAAGCAGGTGACCGCAGCTCTCCGGTTGGTTATGTTCTTTGTTCTTTAACAGTTTCTTCCCATCACAAAATCAGTTCAGAATACAGGTAGGATGACCATGTGTATTTTAGGAATAATCTCCAATATGTTTTCCTTTTCTCTCTTTTCTTCACAGCATGATTTGTTTACCTTGGATATAAATTAATTGTAACACATCACACCTGATCACAACCCTGCTGTTGAGGGGTTCAGCAAATCCCATCCTTCTCCCTGCAGGACTTATCCTGTTTTTAAAGTCAACTGCATAAAGTTTGAGACTCTGGCAAGTTGACTGTGGTCAGGATCTCTGAGGCAATCAGTCAGCCTCCTAGCAGAACGTCCCTCATTTTGAAATGCTTTGAGGTGGTGGAGCAAGATGACTGCTGTTCAGTGAGATGGGGCTTTTGGAAGTGGCTTGATAGGGCCATCATGCAGCCATTACTTACTCATAACTTTTCTTCTTTCGTTTTATGGCTGCAACATTTTACAGTTACATGTTAATCACATTTCCTACTTCCCTCTCCACTAAACTCAGCCCAGCCAGTGATAAGTTTAAGTGTCTCCTCTCAGCATGAAGCAAGGATGCCTGAATTCCTAGTTGACAGCAGCTTGCAGACTTGGAAGCTTTTCCTTCTGTTATCCTGGAGAATGAGGGCTTGTTTGAGGTCAGGATGCAGGAAGTATCTGTGTTGGTCCAACCTGCTGGGTCCCCAGAGAGCTGTATTTCAACAGCAAGACAAATGTATAGTTCCTGCTCCTCCTTGCACGTCCAGATGTGCACATGCTGAAAAGGCAGCATGCTGAGAAGTGGTCGAGGTGAACACCAAGGGCAGCTGCTTTTCAGAAGCAAGGCCTGTAATTTGGCACCAAGTACCCTCTCCTGCTGTTTGTCTGGAATTGACATTGCCATTTGGGATGCTTTTAGATAAGCTGTAAATCTCTCCCTGCCTGTGATTTGGTCCAACAAGCTGGCAGTGTGCAGTGGACTACCAGTAGGTTGGTTCCTCCGTGGGGAACCTCCAGTCACCCTTCTGAGTATGAATTATGGCCCCAGGGCATCCATCATTACTTGGCATTTCGCATCTGGAACTGTCACCTATGTCTGAAGGGCAGGAGGACTTAAATGTACAGCAGACTTACTAGTTCACTCAGCTATGATCCCCAAATTCCACAGAAAAGAATGCAGATGTGAATTCCAGAGATCCAGGAGATGCTGGTGTTGGTAGGAAATGAGCCCTTTACTACTATCTCAAAAAGCAATTGATAAATAAGTGGGAACTTCAAATTCCATGTCCAGAAGAGACAGACTTATAGAGTAGGTAATTTAAGTCACAACTGTTCCTCTTTTTTCAAGTGACAACACCAAGATGTTCCTGTCTCAAAACAAGGTTGTCTCCCTATAACCTCACATTTCCTAAGAGTTTTACTATGGCCTAGATACCCTAAACTTCACACTCAGTTCTCACACTCGCCTATGCAACAGGTGTTGTGATCCACATTTTACTGAAGACTATGCTGAGGCTCCCAGAGGGAAAAAAAAAATGTGTCCAAGACCCTTCAGCTAGTTAGAAATAGAATGGATGGGCAAATCGTGCCTTCTCCTTTAAATATCACAGACTGGGTGACTCAGTCAACAGATATTCACTTATAGCTCTGAGGCTGCAAGTCCAAGACCAAGGTGCTCTTCAATTCAGGCCCCCGTGTGAGTGCTCTGGCAGTTTGAAGATAGTTCCCTTCATGCTATGTCCTCTCATAGCCTTTCCTTAGTGCATTCAAGGAGGGAAGGAGGCAGAGAGATCTGTTTCTCTGCTTATACGGGCACTAATGGCATCAGTCAGAGCCCAAACTTATGACCTCATTTAACCTTAATTACTTCCTTGGAGGCTCATCCCCAGGTACAGTCATACTGAGGCAGGGCTTCAACATATGAAGGGGGGAAACATCCAGCGCCTAACAGCGGGCTCCCAATTCCTATTCCATGAGGGTGTGCTGAGGTCATGTATGAATAGCCCCTAATAATCAGCTCAGCATGGAGTAAACAGTTGTCTTCCTTATACTGAGGGAAAACACCTGGCTGAAGACTGGGGTAATGAGCTGAGGGCTGGACTCAGGCCATCCATTCAATGAGGGGTAGAGGTCTGGCTGGAGAGGGAACACGTGGGTCACAAATTGCTGTGAGCTGTGTGTGGGCTGTGTGTGGGCTGTGTCCGAGGTTCCCTGAGGGGACACATGGCCTGAGGATGGCAAGTATTCTCAAGGAAGAAAAAATGGCCCTGAATCTCCCCTCTCCTTTCCCTTTCCTATTTTGTTATCTATTATTTATTTTTTATGACTTTGTCTCTTCAGCTATACAGGTTAGGATTAAATGAAACCATAGTGGCCACACTGTATCTTGTCTAATGTCCCAGTTTCCATCCACCACAAATTCACCTCACCTCTTCCTGAAGAGTGCCCATGTCGAAGAACTCACCACCTCCTGAGCAGGCCCATCCCATTTTTGAAAATCTTGGATTGACACAAACGGTACCCCTCTGTAGGCAAGATCAACCTTTTAGAAGATATGGAAAACAAATTTCTCCCAGCTCAAATTGACAGATCTCTTATTTGTTCTTCATGCCTGGTGTCTCCTTCTATATTTCAGTCCTCAAGATGATCTGGTCACTTTCTGAGGTATATTTCATTTGTACACCAGCAGCTAATTCTAGTTAAATAAGATTGCGTTCACTGAATTTAAGTCCATATTAACTGTTCCCTGCATTTCCTTCTGAGTCATAAAGCTGCTATTCATCCCCTGCCCAAAACAACTTAATGGGCATTAGCTCTGTGAGAAGACCCCTCAAAGCACAAAGGATGCACTTCTGAGTAATGTGGACAGATTCCTGACCACACAGGGCTTATAGTCTAACAGGAAAGATAAGTATAAACAGACAAATAAGAATCCCAGGTAAAGGGCTGGGGATTTAGCTCAGTGGCACAGTGCCTGCCTGGAAAGCGCAAGGTCGTGAGTTCAATTCCTGGTACCGGAAGAAAAACAAAAAAACAAACAAAAAAAGAATGCCAGGTAAGAAATGCCATGAAATAATAACATGTTCTTTCACAGTCAAGCTACAGTTCTAAAGTCCAGTGAGCACTTACTTTGAACAAGGTAATGGCTAATTAAGGAACTAATAATCTACAGTTTTCAAAAATGTGTTTCATAAAGCTTTTTTCTCTGATCCACACAAAAACCTTATAAAGTAAATAGGGACATAATTTTGATTATTAAATCCATTTTGCAAATTGAGAAAACAGAGACTTATTTTAGCAGCAACACAACCATTGGGTGTGGGGGGACTTGCAGCCCTGGGACTCTAGTGCTCTGGTCACAGATCTGCACTGTTCAATGTGCAAGATTTCTGATGCCTTTTCCTTGTTTCCCAAGCTTCTCTCAGCCATTAGCAGTGTCACTGGCCAGTTTTTAACATATGGGTGCATTCAGATATTTAGGCGATGTCTTTGGTGGTTTGGAAAACATACCTTGCATCTTGCTGTCGTCATCAGCCTTGTAGGGAGGACCCTGCCTTGCTGTGGGGAGGCAGAAAAAGGTTGCTCAGCATCAGGAGACTGCATCACAGAGCAGGGTCTGGTTTCCACATCAGGACATGCAAAAGAGACATCTTGGAGGTCATGGCCACTCAGTTAACAGCCGGGATTTGGTTGGGGAAAGAGGAGGCTGGGTGCAGGCGGGAGCCCCTTGCACAGGAGTCAGCAGCACAGCTGTGAGGGAACAATCATGCTGGGCTGTGGGAGCTTTGGAGATCTTCAGAATGAGGTGTCTCGCGGCAATCGGGGAGGCAGTGGTGTTTGGAAGTCTGGTAAATGAGGTGGCAAAAAATTCTTCTCCTCCTTGTCTGAGCATATCCATGGCTGCTCAGCCCTTGTTAGGACTCCCAGCTCTTCCTTCCTTTTCTGCTTATTCATGAAGGACAAACTCCAAACCAATGTACCCATCTGTTGTAGGATTTGCCATTGTTAGTCTCCTTTAAAAACCCTACACAGACCTGTTTATTCATTCTCTAATCTTTTTTTAAAAACTATTCTCCTTCGTGACCTCTTTATGTCATCTATGAACATGGCTATATATCAGTCCCTTGTGTTTATAGGCAACATCCAGTTACCTAGACTGGGGCCAAGCAGGCAGACAGAGTGGGGGAGCTTCTGGGGGTGGTGCAGGGCTCTGTCAGAGACACCACATAAAACAGAAGAGTGGTTGGAAGCCGGCTCCATGCAAGGAACCACACAGAATAGGAGGCAACTAGCTTTGCAAGGGAGAGTGAGACAATGCTGTAGCATGGGAGAGAGCAGAAGCTTTTCATTTTTTCACACATCTTGGACCTCTAGTAGGTTGTCCTTTCCAAAGCAACCTGGTCACAGTAGTAGAGATTCAGGGTTCTGAGCTGTGGTAATTATTATTATTAGAGACTGGAGGCTTCTGAGTCCATGTCTGTCATGCCCTAGGTAGTTACATCATGGTTTTCAATAGTGACCAGCACAACTTGTCCTTAAAACAGTGTAAAATAAAAACCAGGGGAGCACAAAACAAAGTATAAATATGAACTAGGATGTCCAACTCAGACAGCTGTTGGCTTGTTGTATGACACCTGATTTTGCTTTAACCAGTTATGTGTGACTTTAACCACGTGAGCATGCTTCCTAGTCTGTGGCATGAC